AACCTCAACCTAAAGCCCCATCCCAAACCCCATCCCAAACCCAAACCCCATCCCAAACCCCATCCCAAACCCCCCATCCTGATCCCAAACCCCCCTCGGCCAGGTGTGCCCAGGTGTGCCCAGGTGTGCCCAGGATGATGTGGGAGGTGCTGCCCACCCCCAAAATGGGTCAGGACTGGAGCAGTCCTGGGTACTGACCCCGTATCCCCTCGGCCAGGTGTGCCCAGGTGTGCCCAGGTGTGCCCAGGATGATGTGGGAGGTGCTGCCCACCCCCAAAATGGGTCAGGACTGGAGCAGTCCTGGGTACTGACCCCGTATCCCCTCGGCCAGGTGTGCCCAGGTGTGCCCAGGTGTGCCCAGGATGATGTGGGAGGTGCTGCCCACCCCCAAAATGGGTCAGGACTGGAGCAGTCCTGGGTACTGACCCCGTATCCCCTCGGCCAGGTGTGCCCAGGTGTGCCCAGGTGTGCCCAGGATGATGTGGGAGGTGCTGCCCACCCCCAAAATGGGTCAGGACTGGAGCAGTCCTGGGTACTGACCCCGTATCCCCTCGGCCAGGTGTGCCCAGGTGTGCCCAGGTGTGCCCAGGATGATGTGGGAGGTGCTGCCCACCCCCAAAATGGGTCAGGACTGGAGCAGTCCTGGGTACTGACCCCGTATCCCCTCGGCCAGGTGTGCCCAGGTGTGCCCAGGTGTGCCCAGGATGATGTGGGAGGTGCTGCCCACCCCCAAAATGGGTCAGGACTGGAGCAGTCCTGGGTACTGACCCCGTATCCCCTCGGCCAGGTGTGCCCAGGTGTGCCCAGGTGTGCCCAGGATGATGTGGGAGGTGCTGCCCACCCCCAAAATGGGTCAGGACTGGAGCAGTCCTGGGTACTGACCCCGTATCCCCTCGGCCAGGTGTGCCCAGGTGTGCCCAGGTGTGCCCAGGATGATGTGGGAGGTGCTGCCCACCCCCAAAATGGGTCAGGACTGGAGCAGTCCTGGGTACTGACCCCGTATCCCCTCGGCCAGGTGTGCCCAGGTGTGCCCAGGTGTGCCCAGGATGATGTGGGAGGTGCTGCCCACCCCCAAAATGGGTCAGGACTGGAGCAGTCCTGGGTACTGACCCCGTATCCCCTCGGCCAGGTGTGCCCAGGTGTGCCCAGGTGTGCCCAGGATGATGTGGGAGGTGCTGCCCACCCCCAAAATGGGTCAGGACTGGAGCAGTCCTGGGTACTGACCCCGTATCCCCTCGGCCAGGTGTGCCCAGGTGTGCCCAGGTGTGCCCAGGATGATGTGGGAGGTGCTGCCCACCCCCAAAATGGGTCAGGACTGGAGCAGTCCTGGGTACTGACCCCGTATCCCCTCGGCCAGGTGTGCCCAGGTGTGCCCAGGTGTGCCCAGGATGATGTGGGAGGTGCTGCCCACCCCCAAAATGGGTCAGGACTGGAGCAGTCCTGGGTACTGACCCCGTATCCCCTCGGCCAGGTGTGCCCAGGTGTGCCCAGGTGTGCCCAGGATGATGTGGGAGGTGCTGCCCACCCCCAAAATGGGTCAGGACTGGAGCAGTCCTGGGTACTGACCCCGTATCCCCTCGGCCAGGTGTGCCCAGGTGTGCCCAGGTGTGCCCAGGATGATGTGGGAGGTGCTGCCCACCCCCAAAATGGGTCAGGACTGGAGCAGTCCTGGGTACTGACCCCGTATCCCCTCGGCCAGGTGTGCCCAGGTGTGCCCAGGTGTGCCCAGGATGATGTGGGAGGTGCTGCCCACCCCCAAAATGGGTCAGGACTGGAGCAGTCCTGGGTACTGACCCCGTATCCCCTCGGCCAGGTGTGCCCAGGTGTGCCCAGGTGTGCCCAGGATGATGTGGGAGGTGCTGCCCACCCCCAAAATGGGTCAGGACTGGAGCAGTCCTGGGTACTGACCCCGTATCCCCTCGGCCAGGTGTGCCCAGGTGTGCCCAGGTGTGCCCAGGATGATGTGGGAGGTGCTGCCCACCCCCAAAATGGGTCAGGACTGGAGCAGTCCTGGGTACTGACCCCGTATCCCCTCGGCCAGGTGTGCCCAGGTGTGCCCAGGTGTGCCCAGGATGATGTGGGAGGTGCTGCCCACCCCCAAAATGGGTCAGGACTGGAGCAGTCCTGGGTACTGACCCCGTATCCCCTCGGCCAGGTGTGCCCAGGTGTGCCCAGGTGTGCCCAGGATGATGTGGGAGGTGCTGCCCACCCCCAAAATGGGTCAGGACTGGAGCAGTCCTGGGTACTGACCCCGTATCCCCTCGGCCAGGTGTGCCCAGGTGTGCCCAGGTGTGCCCAGGATGATGTGGGAGGTGCTGCCCACCCCCAAAATGGGTCAGGACTGGAGCAGTCCTGGGTACTGACCCCGTATCCCCTCGGCCAGGTGTGCCCAGGTGTGCCCAGGTGTGCCCAGGATGATGTGGGAGGTGCTGCCCACCCCCAAAATGGGTCAGGACTGGAGCAGTCCTGGGTACTGACCCCGTATCCCCTCGGCCAGGTGTGCCCAGGTGTGCCCAGGTGTGCCCAGGATGATGTGGGAGGTGCTGCCCACCCCCAAAATGGGTCAGGACTGGAGCAGTCCTGGTAACCCCCAGTGCCCAGCTGTGCCCAGGTGTGCCCAGGTGTGCCCAGGTGTGCCCAGGATGATGTGGGAGGTGCTGCCCACCCCCAAAATGGGTCAGGACTGGAGCAGTCCTGGTAACCCCCAGTGCCCAGCTGTGCCCAGGTGTGCCCAGGTGTGCCCAGGTGTGCCCAGGATGATGTGGGAGGTGCTGCCCACCCCCAAAATGGGTCAGGACTGGAGCAGTCCTGGGTACTGACCCCGTATCCCCTCGGCCAGGTGTGCCCAGGTGTGCCCAGGTGTGCCCAGGTGTGCCCAGGTGTGCCCAGGTGCAGGCCGGTGCCAGGATGATGTGCGAGGTGCTGCCCACCTTCAGCTGGGACCCCCAGAGTGGTTCAGGACCCCCAGAGTGGGGTCAGGACCCCCAAAGGACCCAGTCTCGGTTCACCTGTTGACATTCCCTCCCACTCCGTGTCCCCCGAGGTGTTCCCAGGTGTGCCCAGGTGTGCCCAGGTGCGCCTGGGTGTGCCCAGGTGCCAGGATGATGTGCGAGGTGCTGCCCACCATCAGTGAGGACCTCCAGAATCCCAAACCCAAACCCCATCACCATCCCAAACCTCCCCATTCCAAACCCCATCCCAAACCCAAACCCCATCCCAAACCCCATCCTGATCCCAATCCCAAACCCAAACCCAAACCCCATCCCAATCCCAAACCCCCCATCCCAAACCCCATCTCAAACCTCATCCTAAAGCCCCATCCCAAACCCCATCCCAAACTCAAACCCCATCCCAAACCCCATCCCAAACCCCCCATCCTGATCCCAAACCCCATCCCCCAGGTGTGCCCAGGTGTGCCCAGGTGTGCCCAGGTGCGCCCGGGCGGGCGCAGGTGCCAGGATGATGTGCGAGGTGCTGCCCACCATCAGCGAGGACCCGCGGCGGGGCTCGGGCGCGGCCGAGGAGCCGGGGCTGGAGCAGCTGATGGTGCAGATGCTGCGGGAGCGCGAGCGGCTGCTGGAGACGCTGCGGGACACGCAGGAGGGGCTGAACACGGCGCACCTGCGGCTGCGCGACCTGGCGCACGAGCGGGACCTGCTGCAGCTCAACTGCGCCCTGCCCCAGGTGAGACCGGTGTGGGAGGGGCTGAACAGGTGTGGGAAGGGCTGAACTGGGTGTGGGAGGGGCTAAACTGGGTGGGGGAGGGGTTAAAGTGGGTGTGGTCAGGGGCTGAACACGGCGCACCTGCGGCTGCGCGACCTGGCGCACGAGCGGGACCTGCTGCAGCGCCAGCTCAACTGCGCCCTGCCCCAGGTGAGACACGTGTGGGCGGGGCTGAACAGGTGTGGGAGGGGCTAAACTGGGTGTGGGAGGGGCTGAACTGGGTGTGGGAGGGGTTAAAGTGGGTGTGGTCAGGGGCTGAACACGGCGCACCTGTGCTCACCTGGCGCACGAGCGGGACCTGCTGCAGCGCCAGCTCAACTGCACCCTGCCCCAGGTGAGACAGGTGTGGGAGGGGCTAAACTGGGTGTGGGAGGGGCTAAACTGGGTGTGGGAGGGGTTAAATGGGGTGTGGTCAGGGGCTGAACACGGCACACCTGTGCTCACCTGGCGCACGAGCGGGACCTGCTGCAGCGCCAGCTCAACTGCGCCCTGCCACAGGTGAGACAGGTGTGGGAGGGGGGAGGGGTTAAATGGGGTGTGGTCAGGGGCTGAACACGGCACACCTGTGCTCACCTGGCGCACGAGCGGGACCTGCTGCAGCGCCAGCTCAACTGCGCCCTGCCACAGGTGAGACAGGTGTGGGAGGGGCTGAACAGGTGTGGGAGGGGCTGAACTGGGTGTGGGAGGGGCTGAACTGGTGTGGGAGGGGCTAAACTGGGTGGGGTTAAACCAGGTGTGGTCAGGGGTTGGGCAGGTGAGGGCAGGTCAGGTGTGCTCAGGTGTGGGAAAGTTTGGGGGAGGGGTTAAAGCAGGTGTGGCACTGTGGGGGCGGGGTTAAACAAGGTGTGGCACTGTGGGGGCGGGGTTAAAGCAGGTGTGGTCAGGGAGGGGCAAAGGTGTTGGGCAGGTGAGTGCGGGTCAGGTGTGCTCAGGTGTGAGGGACCCCGTGTCCCTGTCGCTGTCCCCAGTGTCCCCAAATGTCCCTGCTGTCCCCACTGTGTCCCCACTGCCCTCAATCCCCCCAGTGTCCCCAATGTCCCCATTGTCCCCAGTGTCCCCAGTGTCCCCAGTGTCCCCATTGTCCCCAGTGTCCCCAGTGTCTCCAATGGTGTCCCCAAACCCCTCGCTGTCCCCAGTGTCCCAAATGTTCCTAATGTCCCTAATGTGCCCATGGTGTCCCCGCTGTCCCCAATGTCCCCAATCCCCCCAGTGTCTCCAATGTCCCCTTCGTCCCCAGTGTCCCCACTGACCCTGATGTTCCCACTGTCCCCACTGGTGTCCCCAGTGGTGTCCCCAGTGTCCCCTCACTGTCCCAGTGTCCCCTCACTGTCCCCTCTGGTGTCCCCTGTCTCTGTGTCCCCTCCAGTGTCCCCTGACTGTCCCCTGTGGTGTCCCCTGACTGTCCCCGTGTCCCCGTGTCCCCTGACTGTCCCCACTGGTGTCCCCAGTGGTGTCCCCAGTGTCCCCTCACTGTCCCCTCTGGTGTCCCCTGTCTCTGTGTCCCCTCCAGTGTCCCCTGACTGTCCCCTGGTGTCCCCTCACTGTCCCGGTGTCCCCGTGTCCCCTGACTGTCCCCTGGTGTCCCCTCACTGTCCCGGTGTCCCCGTGTCCCCTGACTGTCCCCGTGTCCCCCCGGTGTCCCCTGACTGTCCCCCGGTGTCCCCAGGAGCTGGCGGCGCTGACCAAGGAGCTGAACCTGTGCCGGGAGCAGCTGCTGGAGCGCGAGGAGGAGATCGCCGAGCTCAAGGCCGAGCGCAACAACACCCGCGTGAGCACCTGGGGACAGCTGGGACACCTGGGACACCTGGGGACAGCTGGGGACACCTGGGACACCTGGGACACCTGGGCACACCTGGGGACACCTGGGCATGGCATGGGGCACCTGGGCACACACCTGGGGCACCTGGGGACAGCTGGGTACACCTGGGCATGGCATGGCACACCTGGGCACAGCTGGGCATGGGGCACACCTGGGCATGGGGCACCTGGGCACAGCTGGCACCCCTGCGGACACCTGGGCTTGGCATGGGGCTCCTGGCACACCTGGGCACAGCTGGGGCGCCTGGGGACACCTGGCACACCTGGGCACCTGGGGACACCTGGGCATGGAGCACACCTGGCACACCTGGGCATGGCATGGGGCACCTGGGGACACCTGGCACACCTGGGCACCTGGGGCAGCTGGGCACACCTGGGGTCCCCAGTCCTCCCAACGTCCCCCAACACCCCCAATGATGTCCCCAATGTCCCCATCTGCTGCCGGAGCACCCCACAGTGTCCCCCATGTCCCCAGTGTCCCCAATGTCCCCACTGTCCCCGTGTCCCCAGCTGCTGCTGGAGCACCTGGAGCACCTGGTGTCCCCAGTGTCCCCAATGTCCCCAATGTCCCCAGTGTCCCCGATGTCCCCAATGCCCCACAGTGTCCCCCATGTCCCCAATGTCCCCATGTCCCCGTGTCCCCAGCTGCTGCTGGAGCACCTGGAGCACCTGGTGTCGCGCCACGAGCGCTCCCTGCGCATGACCGTGGTCAAGCGCCAGGCGCAGTCCCCGGCCGGCGTCTCCTCCGAGGTCGAGGTGCTCAAGGCCCTCAAGTCGCTCTTCGAGCACCACAAGGCCCTGGACGAGAAGGTCTGGCGGGTCCCGGGGGGGTCTGGGGGGTTTTGGGGGATTTGGGATGACCTGGGGGGTCTTAGGGGGTCCCTAGGGGGTTTTGGGGGGTCTCTGGGGGATTTGGGGTGACCTGGGGGGTCCCTGGGGGGTTTTGGGGGATTTGGGATGACCTGGGGGGTCTTAGGGGGTCCCTAGGGGGTTTTGGGGGGTCTCTGGGGGATTTGGGGTGACCTGGGGGGTCCCTGGGGGGTTTTGGGGGATTTGGGATGACCTGGGGGGTCTTAGGGGGTCCCTAGGGGGTTTTGGGGGGTCTCTGGGGGATTTGGGGTGACCTGGGGGGTCCCTGGGGGGTTTTGGGGGATTTGGGATGACCTGGGGGGTCTTAGGGGGTCCCTAGGGGGTTTTGGGGGGTCTCTGGGGGATTTGGGGTGACCTGGGGGGTCCCTGGGGGGTTTTGGGGGATTTGGGATGACCTGGGGGGTCTTAGGGGGTCCCTAGGGGGTTTTGGGGGGTCTCTGGGGGATTTGGGGTGACCTGGGGGGTCCCTGGGGGGTTTTGGGGGATTTGGGATGACCTGGGGGGTCTTAGGGGGTCCCTAGGGGGTTTTGGGGGGTCTCTGGGGGATTTGGGGTGACCTGGGGGGTCCCTGGGGGGTTTTGGGGGATTTGGGATGACCTGGGGGGTCTTAGGGGGTCCCTAGGGGGTTTTGGGGGGTCTCTGGGGGATTTGGGGTGACCTGGGGGGTCCCTGGGGGGTTTTGGGGGATTTGGGATGACCTGGGGGGTCTTAGGGGGTCCCTAGGGGGTTTTGGGGGGTCTCTGGGGGATTTGGGGTGACCTGGGGGGTCCCTGGGGGGTTTTGGGGGATTTGGGATGACCTGGGGGGTCTTAGGGGGTCCCTAGGGGGTTTTGGGGGGTCTCTGGGGGATTTGGGGTGACCTGGGGGGTCCCTGGGGGGTTTTGGGGGATTTGGGATGACCTGGGGGGTCTTAGGGGGTCCCTAGGGGGTTTTGGGGGGTCTCTGGGGGATTTGGGGTGACCTGGGGGGTCCCTGGGGGGGTTTTGGGGTGACCTGGTGGCACCTGGAGGTCCCCACGGGGGTCCCCAGGGGGGTTCGGAGACGTCCCAGGTGCCACCTGGGGGGACCTGAAGGGGTCTCAGGGGGTTTTGGGGTGCCCTGGGGGGTCCCCAGGGGGGTCTCGGGGGGTTCGGGGACGCCCCTGGTCACACCTGGTGGCACCTGGTGGCACCTGGTGGCCCTCAGGGGTCCCTGGGGGGACCCAAAGGGGTCTCGGGGGACTCTTTGAGGTCACACAGGTGGCTCTGGGGACATCCTGGGGGAGGTCCTGGTGTCACCCCGGTGTCACCCCGGTGTCCCCCTGGTGCCACCTCGGTGTCCCCCCGGTGTCACCCCGGTGTCACCCCGGTGTCCCCCAGGTGCGGGAGCGGCTGCGGGTGGCCCTGGAGCGCGTGGCCGTCCTCGAGGAGGAGCTGGAGGTGTCCAACCAGGAGGTGGGGACAGCAGGGGACAGCAGGGGACACCGGGGGACACCGGGGGACAGCAGGGGACAGCAGGGGACACCGGGGGACAGCAGGGGACAGCAGGGGACACTGGGGGACACCGGGGGACAGCAGGGGACAGCAGGGGACACTGGGGGACACCGGGGGACAGCAGGGGACAGCAGGGGACAGCAGGGGTGGTGACACAGGGGTGGTGACACCAGGGTGGGTGACACCGGGGTGGGTGACACCGGGGTGGGTGACACAGGGTGTCCCTGTGGGTGGTGCCAGGGGTGACGCCTGTCATGGTCCTTTGGAGGGGGACATCTGTCCCCTGTCCCCGTGTCCCTGTTGGTGACACTGTCCCTGTCACCATGTCCCCAGTCCCTGTCCCCACAGTCCCTGTCCCTGTGGGAGCAGCTGTCCCTGCCCTGTTGGTGACACTGTCCCCATGTCCCCCTGTCCCAGTCCCTGTCCCTGCGGGAGCAGCTGTCCCTGTCCCTGTCCCTGAGGTGACACTGTCCCCATGTCCCTGTCCCTGAGGTGACACTGTCCCCATGTCCCTGTTGGTGACCCTGTCCCTGTCCCCAGTCCCTGTCCCTGCGGGAGCAGCTGTCCCGGCGCCGCTCGGGCCTGGAGGACACGGCCACCGACGGGGACAGCGCGGTGAGGGGACAGCGGGGACACCGGGGGGTCAGGGGGGACACCGGGGGGTCAGGGGTCACTGGGGCGTCAGGGGTCACCGACGGGGACAGCGCGGTGAGGGGACAGCGGGGACACCGGGGGGTCAGGGGTCATTCCCTGTCCCCAGTCCCTGTCCCTGCGGGAGCAGCTGTCCCGGCGCCGCTCGGGCCTGGAGGACACGGCCACCGACGGGGACAGCGCGGTGAGGGGACAGCGGGGACACCGGGGGGTCAGGGGTCATTGGTCAGTGTCCCTAGGGGGGTCACTGGTCACTGGTCAGGGGTCATTGGTCAGTGTCCCTGGGGGGAGGGGGTCAGTGTCCCTGGGGGGGTCAGTGTCCAGTGTCCCCAGGGTCAGTGGTCACTGGTCAGTGGTCAGCCTCCCGGGGTCAGAGGTCAGTGTCCCCAGGGGGGTCAGTGTCCCTGGGGGGTCACTGGTCACTGGTCAGTGTCCCAGGGTCAGAGGTCACTGGTCAGTGTCCCTGGGGGGGTCAGTGTCCCTGGGCTCACTGGTCAGTGGCCAGCGTCCCGGGGTCAGAGGTCAGAGGTCAGTGGTCAGTGTCCCCATGAGGGTCAGAGGTCCCTGGTCAGTGGTCAGTGTCCCTGGGGGGTCACTGGTCACTGGTCACTGGTCAGTGGCCAGTGTCCCGGGGCCAGGGCTCAGCGGTCAGTGGCCAGCGTCCTGGGGTCAGGGCTCAGCGGTCAGTGGCCAGCGTCCTGGGGTCAGGGGTCAGCGGTCAGTGGCCAGCGTCCTGGGGTCAGGGGTCAGCGGTCAGTGGCCAGCGTCCTGGGGTCAGGGGTCAGCGGTCAGTGGTCAGTGTCCCCGGGGGGTCAGAGGTCACTGGTCACTGGTCAGTGTCCCCGGGGGGTCAGAGGTCACTGGTCACTGGTCAGTGGTCAGTGTCCCTGGGTGTCACTGGTCAGTGGCCAGCGTCCCGGGGTCAGGGGTCAGTGTCCCTGGGGGTCACTGGTCACTGGTCACTGGTCAGTGTCCCCAGGAGGGTCAGAGGTCCCTGGTCAGTGGTCAGCGGCCAGCGTCCCGGGGTCAGAGGTCCCTGGTCGTTGGTCAGTGTCCCCAGGGGGGTCAGAGGTCCCTGGTCAGTGGTCAGTGGCCAGCGTCCCAGGGCCAGGGCTCAGCGGTCAGTGGCCAGTGTCCCGGGGTCAGAGGTCAGTGGTCACTGGTCAGTGTCCCCTGGGGGTCAGAGGTCAGTGGCCAGCGTCCTGGGGTCAGTGGTCAGCGGTCAGTGGCCAGCGTCCCGGGGCCAGGGCTCAGCGGTCAGTGGTCAGTGTCCCTGGGGGGGGTCACTGGTCAGAGGTCCCTGGTCAGTGGTCATTGGTCAGTGTCCCTGGGTGTCACTGGTCAGTGGTCCATGGTCAGTGGTCAGTGTCCCCTGGGGGTCAGAGGTCCCTGGTCAGTGGTCAGCGTCCCCTGGGGGTCAGAGGTCAGTGGTCAGCGTCCCCTGGGGGTCAGTGGTCAGTGGCCAGCGTCCCGGGGTCAGAGGTCAGTGGTCAGGGGCCAGCGTCCCCGGGGGGTCAGAGGTCACTGGTCAGTGTCCCTGGGGGGGTCAGTGTCCCTGGGCTCACTGGTCAGTGGCCAGCGTCCCGGGGTCAGAGGTCAGAGGTCAGTGGTCAGTGTCCCCATGAGGGTCAGAGGTCCCTGGTCAGTGGTCAGTGTCCCTGGGGGGTCACTGGTCACTGGTCAGTGTCCCAGGGTCAGAGGTCACTGGTCAGTGTCCCTGGGGGGGTCAGTGTCCCTGGGCTCACTGGTCAGTGGCCAGCGTCCCGGGGTCAGAGGTCAGAGGTCAGTGGTCAGTGTCCCCATGAGGGTCAGAGGTCCCTGGTCAGTGGTCAGTGTCCCTGGGGGGTCACTGGTCACTGGTCAGTGTCCCAGGGTCAGAGGTCACTGGTCAGTGTCCCTGGGGGGGTCAGTGTCCCTGGGCTCACTGGTCAGTGGCCAGCGTCCCGGGGTCAGAGGTCAGAGGTCAGTGGTCAGTGTCCCCATGAGGGTCAGAGGTCCCTGGTCAGTGGTCAGCGGCCAGCGTCCCGGGGTCAGAGGTCCCTGGTCGTTGGTCAGTGTCCCCAGGGGGGTCAGAGGTCCCTGGTCAGTGGTCAGTGGCCAGCGTCCCAGGGCCAGGGCTCAGCGGTCAGTGGCCAGTGTCCCGGGGTCAGAGGTCAGTGGTCACTGGTCAGTGTCCCCTGGGGGTCAGAGGTCAGTGGCCAGCGTCCTGGGGTCAGTGGTCAGCGGTCAGTGGCCAGCGTCCCGGGGCCAGGGCTCAGCGGTCAGTGGTCAGTGTCCCTGGGGGGGGTCACTGGTCAGAGGTCCCTGGTCAGTGGTCATTGGTCAGTGTCCCTGGGTGTCACTGGTCAGTGGCCAGCGTCCCGGGGTCAGGGGTCAGTGTCCCTGGGGGTCACTGGTCACTGGTCACTGGTCAGTGTCCCCAGGAGGGTCAGAGGTCCCTGGTCAGTGGTCAGTGGCCAGCGTCCCGGGGTCAGAGGTCCCTGGTCAGTGGTCAGTGGCCAGCGTCCCGGGGCCAGGCTCAGCGGTCAGTGGTCAGTGTCCCCAGGAGGGTCAGAGGTCCCTGGTCAGTGGTCAGTGGCCAGCGTCCCGGGGTCAGAGGTCAGTGGTCAGGGGCCAGCGTCCCCGGGGGGTCAGAGGTCACTGGTCAGTGTCCCCGGGGGTCAGAGGTCAGAGGTCAGGGGCCAGGCTCAGCGGCGCTGCTCGGCAGGCGGGCGGCGAGCGGCGGCGCGAGGCCGAGCTGGAGGCGTCGCTGGGCCGGCAGCGCGTGGCCGCGCTGTGCCGCCAGCTGGGCCGGCTGCAGGACGAGGCCAGCGCCGCCCAGAGAGAGCTGGCCCGGGCTCACGAGGCGGGCGCCAAGCTCCAGAGGGACCTCAAGGAGGTGAGGAGGGGGAAAAAGGGGGGGGAAATGGGAAAAAACGGGAAAAAATGGGAAAAAATGGGAAAAAATGGCAAAAAATGGCCCAAACTGGGAGGGAATGGCCCAAAACGGGAGGGTTTCACCCCAAAGTGGGAGGTGGCCAGGGCATAAGAGGAGGGGGCCAAGCTCCAGAGGGACCTCAAGCAGGTGAGAACAGAATAAAATGGGGTCAGAGGTCCCTGGTCAGTGGTCAAACGGGGGAAAAAGGGGGGGGAAATGGGAAAAAACGGGAAAAAATGGCTAAAAATGGGGGGAAATGGGAGAAATGGCCAAAAATGGCCCAAACTGGGAGGGAATGGCCCAAACTGGGAGGGTTTCACCCCAAAGTGAGAGCTGGCCCGGGCACACGAGGCGGGCGCCAAGCTCCAGAGGGACCTCAAGGAGGTGAGGAGGGCGAAAAACGGGGGGAAAACGGGAAAAAATGGGAAAAAATGAGAAAAAATGGCTAAAAATGGGGGGAAATGGGAGAAATGGCCAAAAATGGCCCAAAGTGGGAGGGTTTCACCCCAAACTGGGAGGGAATGGCCCAAACTGGGAGGGTTTCACCCCAAAGTGGGAGCTGGACTGGGCACATGAGGAGGGGGCCAAGCTGCAGAGGGACCTCAAGGAGGTGAGGAGGGGGAAAACGGGAAAAAACGGGAAAAAATGGGAAAAAACGGTGAAAAAATGGGAGAAATGGCCAAAAATGGCCCAAAGTGGGAGGGTTTCACCCCAAACTGGGAGGGAATGGCCCAAACTGGGAGGGTTTCACCCCAAAGTGGGAGGTGGCCCGGGCACACGAGGAGGGGGCCAAGCTCCAGAGGGACCTCGAGGAGGTGAGGAGGGGGAGAAACGGGGAGAAAATGGGGAAAAACGGTGAAAAAACGGTGAAAAAATGGGAGGGAATGGTCCAAACTGGGGAGGAATGACTGTCCCCAACATCCCCAATGTCCCCAACATCCCCAATGTCCCCCATGTGACACACCTGGAGACATCGGGGACACACCTGGGACACTGGGGACATTGGGGACACACCTGGGGCACACCTGGGACACACCTAGGGCACACCTAGGACAGCTGGGACACCTGGGCACACCTGGGGACACACCTGGGGCACACCTGGGACACCTGGGCACGCCTTGGTGTCCCCATTGATGTCCCCACCACCGGTTGATGTTGTCCCCCCCCCATCCTTGTCCTTCACCCGATGTCCCCGACGTCACCCCCAAATCCACGTCCCCAAATGTCCCCAAATGTCCCAACGACCTCAATGCCACCGATGTCCCCAATGTCCCCAAATCTTCCCAAATGTCCCCAAATGTCCCCGCTGTGGATTTGGGGGAGTTTTGGGGGGATTTGGGAGAGTTTTGGGGGGATTTGGGGGAGTTTGGGGGGATTTGGGAGGGTCTTGAGGGGTTTTGGGGCACTCTGGGCTCACCAAGGTGGGTTTGGGGTCTGGGGCAGTCCTGAGGGAAATGTCCCCAAATGTCCCCAACATCCCAAATCCCCCTGATGTCCCCAAATCCCCTCAATGTCCCCAATGTCTCCAAATGTCCCCGATGTCCCCAATATCCCAAATATCCCAGTTGTCCCCAAATGTCCCCAATCCCCCTAATGTCCCCAAATGTCCCCAACATCTCAAACATCCCCAATGTCCCTAATGTCTCCAATATCCCAATTGTCCCCAAATGTTCCCAATGTCCCCAATCCCCCCAAATGTCCCCAATGTCCCCAGTTGTCCCCAAATGTCCTCGATGTCCCAAATATCCCAATTGTCCCCAAATCCCCCCAATGTCCCCAGTGTCCCCAAATCCCCGTGATGTCCCCAAATGTCCCCAATATCCCAAATATCCCAAATGTCCCCAATGTTCCCAACGTCCCCCAATCCCCCCAAATCCCCCCAAATGTCCCCAGTGTCCCCAATATTCCCAATGCCTCCAAAGTCCTCAATGTCCCCAAATCCCCCCAATGTCCCCAATCTGCCCCCAATGTCCCAAATGTCCTCGATGTCCCCAATATCCCAAATATCCCAATTGTCCCCAAATGTCCCTGATGTCCCCAATGCCCCCAATGACCCCAAATCCCCCTGATGTCCCCAAATGTTCCAAATGTCCCCAGTGTCCCCAATCCCCCAAATGTCCCCAATGTCCCAAATCCCCCCAAATGTCCTCGATGTCCCCAGTATCCCAAATATCCCAATTGTCCCCAAATGTCCCTGATGTCCCCAATGTTCCCAATGACCCCAAATCCCCCTGATGTCCCCAACACCTCGAATATTCCAATTGTCCCCAAATCCCCCAATGTCCCCAATG